GTGACACTGGCTTTTTTTGTACACAGGGTCTGTTCTGAGTGGTGGGGTTCCTCCTGGGTGTCAGGAAAGTTCTGGCTTCCCTAATCATTCAGATGGGATTCAGTTCTATTTTAGAAAATTGTTTGGCCCCATCTTACCTGCCAGGTTCTCTGCCATGTGCAGTTCCAGAAAGAGATTACACAGTCTGGTCACCATGTCACTGTTTCCTGTTCTAATCCCAAACATCCTTTGGCTGGTGACAGTAACCACACAGCTGGCAGGCAGGATAAGGGAAAGATCTGGGGGAGCCCAATATCTCTCAGTCCCATATGTGCTCTTTGGCCACAGTTTAAAATAAAGAGGTTTCCTCCCTCTCATCCCATGGGGTGTGCACTATTTTTCAAAATTCACTTACAATAGCAGAAGCAGGTCATTTATTTGACTTGCCTACACTGGGCTCTGATTTCTGCATCTTGACTCTAGGTTCAGGTATGTGTTGAGCTTGAAACGCTTCTCTTGGCATCTATGTGTCAAGAAGGACCCCACGGTGATTCCAGACTGGTTTTCTTGTCCCCAGTCCCCTTGTCTCTACTCTCAGTGGACAATTTTGTGGGTGTGTGTATATATATAAAGATCTCATGCTTTATCTTTACTCACAGCATCACTGCCACTACTGTTACTAATTTTCCCCCCGATGATCTTAGTGAAACGGGTTTCTTTCCTCAGGAAAGCTAACTTCTCCATGCGTATCTCAGATGTCATTCTTTCTTTTTTCTGTCAGAGCCATTGCTTCCCTCCACCTCAAAATCTCTGAAAACCTCAGGCCCCGTACTCCCCACTCCTCTTCCCCAATCTCTGAGTGCAATTAGCTGAAGTCCCCTCTGAGGAGGAGTGTCCCCAAAGTCTAGATATTTTCTCTTCCCTTCTCTAGTGTGGCACTGCGTCTTTCTGGACCGTCTCCCATTCCTTTGACTATTTTTTTCCGTTCCCTCTACTGATTATGGCCTCAGCTCTTCACTCTTTCTGCACTATCCTCACTCATTCCTCCATCCATTTATTCATTCATTCAGGATTCACAAAGGATGGAATATCTGCCTGCTACCAATCCAGGCATAGGGATACCGCAGCGAAAAGAACAAACAAGGCTGCTTTCACGGAGCTTACACCCTGAGAGGTGGAAACAGAACATAAGTATGTACATAAATTTAAAATAAGATAATTTTGGATAGTGAGAGAAGATGGGAAGAACAAGAAAAAGGGTAATGAGATAGAGAGTAGCTTCAGATGGGGGAAATAGGTAGGAAACCAGTTTAGAGAGTGTGTCCAGGAAGTGCTACTCTAAGAAGAAGTCATTTAAGGCAAGAGTAGAATGATAAGAAGAAACCAGCCACAGGATGAAGAGCAGCCTGGGCAGAGGGGACAGCTCGTGCAAAGGCTCTATTACGGGAAAGAGCTTGTTAAGTTTGAGGCACATATTTAAAAAGTCAAGAGTAACTGGAACACTGTGGACAAGACAGGGAATGGCAGACGTGAGTGTGAAGAGATAGGCAGGGCTCAGGACAGGCCTTGCTGGACCATGGTGAGGAGTCTAGATTTTATTTATTATTTTATTATTCAATGAGATGCTATTGAAGGGCTTCAAGCAAGAAAGGCACATGGTCTCACAGAATACAAAGAGTGCTCTGGCTACTGTTGGTAGACTAGAAACTACAGTTTCACCCTCAACTGTAAGGGGAAGATAATCATCAAATTGGGAAAGGTAGAAAAATAAAAATAAACAAACAGGGCTTCCCTGGTGGCACAGTGGTTGAGAGTCCGCCTGCCGATGCAGGGGACACGGGTTCGTGCCCCGGTCCGGGAAGATCCCACATGCCGCGGAGCGGCTGGGCCCGTGAGCCATGGCCGCTGAGCCTGCGCATCCGGAGCCTGTGCTTCGCAACGGGAGAGGCCACAACAGTGGGAGGCCCGCGTACTGCAAAAAAATAAAATAAAATAACATAAAAATACACAAACAACAACAACAAGATCCCAGCAGAAAAGGATTGAAGCTAAAATGGCAGAAAGGAGGAAGGGATAACTTAATTTAAATGAGTTAAGAACTCTCAGAACAAGGCCAGAGGTACTTTAGGGAATTTAAGGTACTTGTGAAAGTGACTGAGAGCTACTGCCAAATATCAAAGGAAATGTCAGAAGACTGAAGAAACCAAATGCTCCTGTTTTCAATAGAGAAGGGACAGGGGAGTAAAATCTTTAAAGTGACTATTTAAAATGGGATTGGTAAATATTTTAAAAAGAACATTGTGATTATTAGGAATCAGCACAAATAGACCTAAGAAAAAATTATGTAAAATTAAGCCAGTTCCTGCTGCCGTAGTGGTGATGGCTGTAGTGTAATGGTTGATGGAATTATCAGACTGAAAATATTTCAGTCACTCTATGTATTTGGGTGAGACTTTCAATAAGATCATAGAATCTCAAAGATGACTGGAACTTTATCAACAATTCGTTCCAAATTTCTAACCTATAGATTTTTTTTTTTCTACAACATCCCAGTAATTCTTTGGAAAACAGCTGCTTGAACATAACAAAAGGTAATTCATTCCACTTTGGAATGGTTTGAAATGTATTGCTGAAAATCTGTTTCTATGTAAATGTAAACCTCTCTTATCTGGATCATTATAAGTCTAATTCCTCTCACGTATATACCCTTCGTTTTAAATTTTCAGAATATGTTATGTTACAAATATGGAAAATAGGAAGATATGTTTGGGTATTTATTTGTGATTGAGCAATAATACCAAAGAAGTCTAATTAGTCAAACTAGAATAAGGTCTCTAAACTTGTGCCAAAGAACTCTTTTTTTTTTCTATCCGTTTAAAACAATCTATATTTGAAAAAAAAATCTATATTTGAAAAAAAAATCTATGTTTGGATCAAGTGATTCTCAAGCCTAAAGATGAAATAAAGCTAAAGAGAGATGTCGGATGATTAAATCTGGATTCAATACAATTATTAGTAGCATGGGATAATTGGTTGAAACTAATACATTTTGAAAAATTAATTAATTAACTTATTTATTTATTTTTGGCTGTGTTGGGTCTTCATTGCCGTGCACAGGCTTCCTCTAGCTGCTGTGAGCGGGGGTTACTCTTCGTTGCGGTGCGCGGGCTTCTCATTGCGGTGGCTTCTCTTGTTGCGGAGCACGGGCTCTAGGCACTCAGGCTCAGTAGTTGTGGCGCACGGGCTTAGTTGCTCCACAGCATGTGGAATCTTCCCGGACCAGGGCTAGAACCCGTGTCTCCTGCATCGGCAGATGGATTCTTAACCACTGCACGACCTGGGAAGCCCGAAACTAATAAATTTTAACAGCGATAAGTACAGAGGTGTTTTATCCCCCGCCCCCCCCCCAAGATTCCCTCTATAAGTACAAGATAACTCTGCAACAAGTTGAGTGAAAAATACTTAGGGATTTTAACTGACCATAGCTCATTATGAGTGAGATATGGCTGTAAATGTAACTGAACAGACGTACCCTCTAAAGCAACCGTGGCCATAAATCTCCTGGATTTACACTGGCAGACCCCACAGAAAACATCAGTTCCTCTTCTGGATGTATCATGCAGAGAAACCAAAAATCCTCCTGAGACAGTGACCAGGGTAGTTAAGGGTTGGAAACCACCAGAAAATACACTGGAAGAAACTTACGAAGCTTAGCCCCAAACAAAAGAGTCTGGGGTGGGATGTGGGGAAGCACAGCTCTCTCTTAAGGAAAACATTTTGCCGACCACTTAGTGGGGTTTGTAGAGGAAGGAAGAGTGTACAGAACTCAACTGAATATAAAGAAGAACTTCCTTCAACGTTGGAAGGGACTGACTTTGTGTAGTAGTGAGCTCTCGTTCCTGACAAAGGCCAAGCCTGGTCATCGGGAATGTCCATGGGGGATTCAAGAATTGGAAAGGAAGTTGAATTAAGTCGACTGTAACTTCTCATCCAGGTCTAACACACTGTGATTCAAGGGCTGGTCTTCAAAGCAACACAGAGCATGGCCTGGTGGCTCCCTGCCCAGGAAGAAGGACATTCTGTTGCTCTGTGATATGTTAGGAGGGAGAATTTCCTGCATATGGTTCACTTAGTCAGCTGTTACTCTGCCGTTCTGTTTTGGAATATCAGTGTCAAGCTTCCCGTTTTGGAAAGGGAGCAGTAGGGAATGAGAAGGGGGGAGAGGTTCTTGTATTAATCTTTCACTCGGTTCCAGGCATTCCTAATCTATTATGTCAATATGAGTTTATAACTAAATTTAAACGTTCAGGTTTCCCTTCCAGGGATGGGGAGGGGCAGTGAAACAGCTGCTAGGACTAGGGTGAGGCTAATAGTTGGAAGAAGCCAAACCACAGTCTATCTGCTTTTAAACTTAACAACAACAACAAAAAAGTGAGCAGAGCGAGAGGGAGTTGCTCCACCCCCAACACCACTGTTGCACAGACGTTTGGATCACCTCCTCAGCCAGTGAGGAGGTGAACACGGGAACAGGTGCGCCTCCCTCTTACCCCACTTCTAAGCAGGGATTATTTTGCTGCGTTCAGGGTGCCCGGTACCAATTAATCAAGGCTAGACAAAGGATATACCAGGAGGGGATGGGGTCGGGGGAGAGAAGCCAGGAGCCATGTAGCATGTACATTAAAGATGACATCATTGAAAGAGATTTGGCCCTCCTCTTCCCGGAGCTGGAAGCTCGCATGTCTGTGCAGGAGCCAAAGTGGGGTTGCTTGGGCAGGGGGTGGGGGTGGGGTGGGGGGGCGGTGGGACCTCGCTGGCCCCATTAGAGGTGAGCTAGCCAAGATCCTGATGAGAGCTGACTCTGCCCACCTTCCTGCCCTGAACCCTGACTACAGAAGTTTGCGCAGCCACGAGGGGCGCGCCGGTTTGGGGGGGGGGAGTATGGCTCTGGCGGGGGGCGGGGCGGGGGTAAGTGGTGGCGGTGGCGGTGGAGAGCCGCCTGCGCATGTCAAGGCTGACGGAGCACACACGGTCGGGGCGCCTGGAGAAGGGCGGCTGGTCACGCGCCACCCAGGGTCCGGGCCCCTGCACGATCTGCAGGCGAGCTCGGGGACGGGGCCCACCCACCCCACCTCTGGATCGCAGGCCACACAGAAGCTTCCGCCTCCTTCCTGGCCCCCCTCCGGACCTCCCCGGGGAGGCTCGGCGGGTGTGGACTGGACTGAGGTGGAACGAGTTCTGTAGCTCAGACGGCAGCCCCGGTGGTTTCGGGTGTGAGGGCAGAGGCCCAGCTGGAGAAGGCGATCAGGGCGGACGAAGCCGGCGCTCCCGGGTCTGGGTGGATCCTGGTCGGAGCGTAACTCTTAGTAGGGAGGTGAGAGGTGGATCAACAGGGACCCCTCCGGCAGCGCAGCCGCCTAGAGCCTGCCTGCCGCTCACTTCGGAGCTGAGCTTTCCCCGAGGCGCAAACAGGGGAAGCAGCTGAGCGACTGGAATTGGAAGTTCCGGGTGGGCGGGGAAGGCTCTGTCCGTGGTGCTGATCCGGATCCCAGCAACGGGCTCCGGGGAGGGCGCGCCGCGCTGCCGATCCACTCCCTCGAATTGGGGCAGTCCGCCAGGGTGGCTTGGAGCTGAAACCCCCGCCCGGCTCAAGAAGCCCGCAGAGCCTCCCCAGTAAACGACACTTGGCCCTTATTTCAGTGAGAAAGTCGCCCCCTTGGAGCAGTTCGTCCCAGAGGGTTTCCTCGAAAGTACTGAGAGGGAGCAGTTGTTGACCCAGGGAATCTCTCTGTTTAGCCCCGGAAGCCACCCGCTGAAAAAGATGCCTGGCTTCAACAGATTGTTTCCCCTGGCTTCCCTCCTGCTCATTTTGTGGGGTAAGTACCAGCACCCTGCCATGCGAGATGCAGATGACAGTAATAATGCTAACAGTAATAACACTTACTGATGTCGTTGGTGAAAACGAGGAGCCCTGGCTGACTTCGCCCTGTGCATGTCTGCCAGACACGGGATCCAGAGGGGTTCCATGAGAGCTGGGATTCTGAGATTGGAAAAAGGCCTCCCCACTCCCGTGCTGCCTTATTCCTGAACCTCCCTTGGTGGTTTTTCCACCCTTCCTCCCCTTTCCTGTTAATTCCAAAGTATTTTTTCCCTTTCCCGTAGCCGAAAGAGCATGCAGTCACATTCATTATTAAAAAATCTCGGTTACCGTTACATTTCATTTCTCAATGAGGTCTTTGAATTAATTTTTATATATTAAAAAAATCTGGATGCGTGCATTTTGAGAGTGAAACTAGTTGTTGATCCATCTGTTTAATTTCAATAAGTAAAACAGGCTTCAGCCATTTGCAGCAATATATTAGATAAATAGGCACCTGGGAATTTGCATCTTCTTTTTCAAGAACATGTGGAATTAAGGTGGTTTGGTGTTTGGGGGGCTTTTTTTGCCTTTAATGATAAATAGTTCTTGTTTGTCTGCTGTGAAGGAGTGAGGTGACCTTCTCCCTCCAAATAAGGGAATCCTATACTTGCAACAGTAAGGCTGAGCAGAGTGGTGTCAGAGATGGGCTTGGAGCGGGGTGTCTGCATGTGTGTAGTGGGAGTTAATGAGTCTACATGATAATGTCTGAATGTGTGATTGAGAGAATGCTTTACTGTGTTGATGTATGCCTCAGGGTCTGAATGTGTATGCTAGTGTATGTCAGAGCATGTTAGTATGGGCAGCTGTATGGATTGATGAGGATGTAGTAGTGTGTGTGTGTGTGTGTGTGTGTGTGTGTGTGGTTGTTGTGTAGTTATGGGCATTTCAGTCTTGGCAACTTAGATCCTCAGGTCAAATATAGGTGCTCTCCAGCTGATAATTGCTTTACATGATCTTAGCTACATTCCTCCATGTTAAAAATCAATAACCAGTATAATTAGATGTGAGCATGCCCACCTGCCTTACTGAAACTAGGTATAGGATTATGCTCTGTGGTTGGCAGGGAACTCATTCTGCTGGTGCAGTGGCAGATATGCTGATGGGAACAGCCTCTTTACCTCAGTATCACTTTATTAAGCCTCCAGGACTCACTCTGGCTGCCAGCATTATCTGGATTTTGCATGTGACCAGAAGCAGAGCCAAGCTTCCCGTTGAACAAAATGCCTGATGAGACAGGCTGGGAAGGACAAAGAGGGAGAGTAATGCCAGTCCCAAGGGCAGACTCACCGCCACCCATCCCCAGTAGGGTAGACCAGACCTGAAGATGAAGCAGACATAATAGGTCGCCAATGATCTCACCTGCCTTGAAGACTTAAGGCTGTGATTTCCTCAGGGGGAGGCTAAGACGAGGGGGCTTAGGAGAGGTTAGTTGGGCTGTATAAGAAAGAGCATGAGTAAAGCAGTGAGAGATGAAGTTGTAGAGAAGGTTGGGGTGAGATTCTACAGAACCTTTCTTCCCAAACCCTAATTTAAGTTTTTAGCATATTTGCCTGAATTCTAGTGGACGGGGAGAGCACGCTATAGGCCAAGGACCTTTTGACTAGGACTTACAAAGCCTGGATTGGAGTCTTAGCTCTGCCACTAGCTTGCTATGTAATAACCTTAGAGTATTTTGTTCCTCATATACGTATATTTGGAAATACATAAGTTTGGAAATTGGGGCAGATGATATCTAACGTCCCTTTTAGCTGCACAATTGAATGGTAGGGTAATGTAATGTCTGCATGTAATTCCAGCATTGGAAAGCACTTAACTTAGATGTGTTCACCCTTCCCAATATGAATGGAATTTTTTCCATTCTTTTATTTTCTGTGTGAATTGAACAAAATTCCCTTATTTCCTTCAATAAAGTATATAATAATAATAATAATAATAATAATAGAATCTACACTCGCCTTGTGCTTTACAGTTTACAAAGCAATTTTCAATCTTTTTGGTCCCCATAGCAATCCTATGGTGGTAGTCAGGGAAAGCAGTATTATTTCCAACTTAGAGATGGGAAAATGAGTGCAGGGGAGGGGAAAGGACTTGCTAGAGAACACTTACCTCTTGATTTCAGTCTTCCAGGGCTTGTTCTAGCTCCTCTTATGGACATACGTGCTGCTATACAGGATTGCCAGGTGGGCGTCTGTCCTCTCATCCCTCTTTGGAGCCACCCTTCCACTCCTCTCCCATGCCATTGCCTTTCCTAGGGCCTTACTCATTTTTACCTCCTAGTGTCTTCTCTGTTTTTCCTCTCCCAGGTGTCGGTTGTGCTGGGGAATGTTTTCCTCTCTTCCCCCAGTAACCCATTTTACATCCCATTCTTTCAAGGCTCTGCTAAGTGACTGGCTAATCTGATAGACCAAGTCATTTCAGGGTGTTAATATCTACAAATAACATCATTTATTACCCCCTTTTGGAAAGTATTTACATTCTAATCAAAGCCTTTATTTTCTTAGCATTGTAGAGCAAAGTTAAGAGGAGCAATATAGCAATAACCAAAGAAGAAAAAGATTTGGGGTTATTAGAGGAGTTGGTTACATACACATTACTATCCACCTGATAATAGATTGATGCTATCCCTTAGTCCAATATAATCATAATTAATATTTTCTTCCTTCTCTGGTTTCCTCATTTTTACTATAGACATTGAAGAGGAGACCATGGGTCAAATGATTTGGCCAAGATTATTCCAGGAGTTTATTATTTACAGTCAGCAATGTGGGTTGAATGTCTACCATATGTGCAATCTTTTCTTGGATATCTAGAGGATTTCTTGGAAAGAGAGGCAATAGTGTACTGGAGACTTACAGGGTGGAGAAATATACTTTACCTCTTGGTGGAAGGAGCAGCGAGTCATATTGCAAAGGGAAGGCAAACAAGGAAGAGAGGATTCTGTGGCCATTTTGCAATGTTCTATCCAGGACCTCATGAATTAAATTGACCTCATGAGCTGAGCTCTTTCTTAGGACTTCAGGCTGGACTTTGGCAAGGAGAAGGCGATCAGTGGGGTTTGCTGTCTGATGATACCTTGGATTACTCAGGGGCAACTCAGAACAAAGAGAGGCTGCCGTGCCCTACTCACCATCCTGACTGCATGTATTCTGCCTTCCCTCCTTTAACTCTAAATGAACTAACCGTGTTTATATTTAAGACCAACTCATCTACTTGTTCACTAGAGGCTGTCACCTCTCACCTATTCAAGGATGTGAGTCCAGCAAATGATACACTTTCAAGCCCCAGCAGCTCTACTGTTCCCTTCATCCAAGCAAAGTCATTGAACCACCTCTCAGTCTGATCACTGTACCAGCCTCTTAACTGTTCTCTTTGCTTCCACCCTTATCCTTCCTCACCTCTTCAGTTTATTCCCAGCATAGCAGTCAGATCAGGCAATTTTGTATAAATCGTGTCATTCTTCCACTCAGCAGCCTCCAATGCTCCCATGTCACTCAAAGCAAAAGCCAAAGATCTAACTGTGGGCTGGAAGAGCAGCCATGATGCGGCTCTGGCTAATTTCTCCTGCCTCATCTCCTTCTACTCTCACTTTGTGCCCTGTACTTTATTGTGCTTTTTGCTTTTGCCAACACACTCCCACCCTAGGGCTCTCGAGTTGCTATCTCCTCTGCACACCTTCACACAGATATTCATACAGCTTGCTCCCTCCTTTCTTTCCTTCAACACCTGCTCGACGTCACCTTCTCAGTGAGTCTCTGATGATTCTATGCATGCTCTAACTCCTCTATTCTCTTTTTTCTTATAATTGCACTTATTGCACTTTAATGTTGCTTACTTTCTCTCTCCTTCACTGGAATGTGGGCTCCATGAGAGCAGGGATGGTTTCTGTTTTGTCCCCTGCTGTGTTCTCAGTGCCTAGAGCAGTGCCTGGCGCACAATAAGCACTCGACATATGTTGAATGAGTGAACAAATAAAGGAAGGAAAATGACATTAACGAATGTACAAAGCACATTCGTAGAAATCATCCCATAGAATTTGCATGACAAATCTATTAGATAGATATTATTTTCAGCATTTTGTTGATGAATAAACTGAGTCTCAGAGAGGTTAAACAGTCTACCAAACTGGGAATTCTCTGGCGGTCCAGTAGTTAGGACTCTGCACTTTCACTGTAGGGACCTGGGTTCTATCTCCGTTTGGGGAACTAAGATCCTGCAAGCTGCGCAGTGCGGCCAGAAAAAGTCTATCAAACCCAAGCCTTCAGCTGCCCAATACCGTCTTTCTTCTGCCTCTATAAGCGTAACTGTACATTCCTTGGTACATTTTCCCATTCTTCTCTGAAGTCATCATCATTGAACTAACTCATCTTTACCACGTCTCATTAAATATGAATGTGCCCCGAGGCTCCCTGCTACATGGGGTTCTCAATGCACACTTTACACCTCTATCCATTCCCAAACTTTTGCACAGACCATGCTTTATTTTTTTTAAACCAGGCCTATACTCAAGCTTTCAAACTCTTCATATTCTGAAAATGTTTCTGATCAGTTCTCTCTAGATATGGACCCTCCCCCGATTAAAGTGATGACCCATATGCAGAAGCAGGAGAGCCTCTTGCAGGCTGCCTGATAAAACCACCCCCCGCTTGTTGAGAGTTTAAAGCCAATAAAATTTATTTTACCTTTGATATGTTAAATTTTATCATAGTGCCTCTAGTTTTTAAACTCTATGTCTAAAAATTAAATTTGTTGCTTTCTGAGTCAAATATTTCCTTTTTTGACTCGTAGTTAATCGGTCAGTCTCATTTTAAGTTCTAAATAAAGCTTTTCTCTGCTTTTAGAAAGAACTGTCTGCCAGTAGAGGAACAGACTGATCATTCACTGTGGACTAGTTTTTAAATTACAGTGTGTATTATTTCATTTTTTTAGGTGTTCTGTTTTCATTATTAATGAGAAGGTAGCCTGAGAAGGGGTTAGAAGTTCTGATACAAGAATTGTTGGTGATTCATCTCACTTTTGAATCTTCTGTATAACAGGCAGACTCTCTTACCAAATAGTTTTTTGCATTTGTTAACAGCTTCAGCACCAGAAAGAAAAAAATTTTTTTAAATTGAGTTAGCTTTACTTTCGTGTGACTTTTGGAGTCGGACAGAATCTATTTTCTCTTCCACAGGCCAACCTTCAAATATTTGAAGACAGGTGTGTCGGTGTTCAAGCTAAGCACTCCCGGTCCCCGCTTTGTTCTTACCAGACTTTGCCCGCAGACCCTTCTCCATCTTGCTTTCCTCTGCACATGCACTCGTTGAAAACTTCCTTTCGTACAATGTGACACCCTGAACTGATCATAGTGGTCCAGATTTGCTCTGAACCGCACAAGGGAACTGCTCCTGCTTTGTCCTGCAGTGTACATCTGATAACACAGCCCACGTTTGCACTTGCTTTCTTGGCAGCCACGTCCCACTTTTGATTCATTCTGAACTTTAAGTCTGATGTACTTACCCTCTTTAATGGGCCATGAGCTTTTAGAGGGCAGGAACTATAAATCCAGGCCTGCGGGTGGCCTCCAAGGTGCCCCCCCCAATCTGACTCCCCCTTTTTTTTTGTTTTTTACTTTTTAAAATTTTGTTTTTATTTTATTTTACTTTTTTATTTTTTCAATTATTTTCTCTTTTTCCCCTTCGTCATTTTTAACTGTGTGTCTCTCTCTCCTCCTCGGGTGAAGCATCATTGCCCCAGCCCCAGGGTCAGCTCACCGTTTTCCTCCTTGCTGCTCCGTCCTCCACCATGCATCAGAATTACCTACATTTGCCATAAAACACAGATATGATTACATCTCTCTAAGGCTTGAAAACATGTGACCCCTCCTATTGTGAAGGGCATACAGAGGTCTTCACAACATGGGCCCGATCTAGCTTTCTGGCCTTAAGTCTCACCATCCTTCTCTTCCTCTCTTCGCAGCCCAGCCAGGAGTAACTGCCTCTCCTCTCGTATGCCACTCACCATGGTCTGGTTTTATGACAGGAGTATGTGTTCCCTGCTAGACTATAAATGTCTTTAGGGTGTGAAGCGTGTTTTATTCATCTTTGTATCTCAGCGTCAGGCCCGACATAGAGTAGATTTCTGTGGGTGTTGGTGGAATGAAGGGGTGCATGGGTGGTTGATGGATGGATGCATGGGTGCCCTGTTTCCCACCTTGACTCTAAGTCCTTGAGGGCAGAGCTGAGGTACAAGCTGTACCGCATCCCTGCTGCTTCCGGGGAGGCTTGCAGTCAATGCTGGCTCATCCCTGCCAGTTGTGAGAGGGTGTACCTGGGGAGACACGTACACGTGCATGCTGTTTTCCAGTTTGTCTCATAATTCTGCCTTCTCTGTCTCTCCTCCCTCCCTCCTTGTTCTCCACTGCCTCTCCCCCAACACCTCCTGTCCCTTCCCTGGCGTCCGGGCTCTCCCCAGCTGGCGTCTGCTACCCTGTGTGTGTGGAAGTGCCCTCGGAGACGGAAGCGGTTCGGGGCAATCCCATGAAGCTGCGCTGTATCTCCTGCATGAAGAGGGAGGACGTTGAGGCCACCACGGTGGTGGAATGGTTCTACAGGCCTGAGGGCGGTAAAGATTTCCTTGTATGTCTGACTGCTGACTCTGCCCTTTGTTTCGCTGGCCTCTGCCATTGTGTGTCTGGCTCCCTACAGCCTGGGGAATGATGATCTGACACACACTGGCTCTTTCTCTCCAAAGCACTGACAGCTCCTCTGCTGATAACTGACAGCCTTAGTTTAGCCCAGCCTCTGGGAAAGGGAGGGCTCCAGGCCAGCTCTGGGCACTCCCGGTTACAGGCAGGGTAAGGAGGAGAAAGGCATAAATAGTATTTAGAGCCTACTGTGTGCCAGTCACCCCACTAGGCACTGTGCAGGTGTTTTCATCGAATCTCTGCACCATCCTGCTGGATGGATTAAATTCATAGAAACATTGAGATAACGCCAAGGGTCATTAAATGAGATAGCATAGGTTACCTCATTTAAGTCTCACAATCTCAGTGAAACAAGAATGTCAGGCGTGACCAAGACTGATGTGCAACTGGTACACACACATCAGTGGGTAAAATATTTAAATAGTCCTACAGTGGTTACTTGTGCCAAATCTCCCAAGTGGCTTCATCACCATCCTTCCCACTAGGAACCTCCAGACCTCCCACGATGTAGGAACTAAGGGATCAGCCATGGCCAATGTCAGTTCTGACTGGTTGGTGCCAGTGCCAAAATGGTTGTTATATACTTTGAACACCAACTTGGGGATGACCATTATTCACATTGTCACTGTCTTTGGAGCCAGGCTGCCTGGGATTGATTCTTGACTCCACAACTCATTTTAACTCTGTGTCCTTGGACAAACTGCTTAACCTCTCTCTCTGTGCCTCAGTTTCCTCATCTCTAAAATGGGGATATAAGCCATACCTACCTCACAGAGCTGTTACCAGGACTCATGTGCTATAATTTTTAATGCGTTGAGAATAGTTCTGGAATACAAGAAGTATTGTATAAGTGTTTGCTAGAGAACACACACACACACACACACACACACACACACACACACACACAAATGGGGAAACTAAGGATCAAAGAAATTAAGTTAGTAAGACAGCTTAGATTTGAACCAGGTCGTCTGACAGCAGATACAAAGCCCTTTTTACTACACTGCCTCATCTTCCTGGGGGCAAGTTTTTCCCTTCAAATACCTAATGGAGACACAACATTAGGATGAAATTGAGTTCTGCTTGCTCTTCTGTCTAGCTCTCCTAAAGCTGGACTCATTTCTCAATCTAGGCTGGATGTGCCACTCTGATGTGGCTTTGCTGCACTCAGGTGCCAGGCCTGGGACAGTAGGCTTCCTAGTGCCTGGCTCAGGGCTGACCGCAACCAAGGCTAGTGCGTAGGTTACAGGAGCCTGGACGTCTTGACCAGATGCAAAGGTCCCCACGAGCCTCAGGTCTGTTCATATGCCAGCCACCTGCTCTGCTTCCAGGCCTGCCCAAAGTGAGGAGAAGGTGGCTCAGATGGAGGAAAAGAAACTCAAAAAATTGTGCTGGAAATACAGAACAACACTAATAGAAATTTTTGTGACAATGAACATGTTCCATATTCGTGCTGTCCAATTCAGTAGCCACCAGCCACAGGTGGCACTGAACACTTGAACTGTGGCTAGTGCAACTGAGAAACTGAATTTTCCATTTGATTTCATTCCTAGTAAGTTAAATTTTAATGTAAGTAGCCGCACGTGGCAAGCAGAAACTAGATGGACTGCACAGCTGTAGAAGGAAACAACAAACAAGGTATGTCAGAAGGTGGAAGTGTTTGAGAAGAGAAATGTAGAGACCACATTTCAGATCTAATTTCGCCCAGAGTGGAAGAGCTGATGTGTGCACATTGGCTGGCAGCTCTCTGCTCATGTGGGCCACTTAAGCAGCCTGGGTCCCCTTCATGCGGCCTGGCCCTGCCTGCTCACATCCCCTCCAAGGGGACCAGCTCCGAGAGACACTTTTGGAGGCCCGAGCTCTCAGACGTCTTCATGACGAATGAAGCTGCCTCTCTGCCTTAGTCTCTCCCCGGCTGCCCCCATGACACACCTTTCTCTCTTGTTCTCTCTGCCTCCTTCCAATCCTTCCCTTCTCTCAGTTTCCCTCTCCTGATCTCCTGTACACTTCACTCACCTTCCTCTGTCCTCTTTCTTTCCAGCGCTTTTCCCTGCCCACCTCTTCCTGCCGTGTCCATGTGCCCTGACACCTGGGTGTCTTTGCCCGTCTTTCCCTGTCTTTGCTCTCTTCCCTGCCCTCCTCTGAGACGCCCATCCCACTCCCACATTTGGGAGCTCCTGGTAACACTGTCCCCGTCCCCACGTCCGAGCACCATTCTGGTCCTTTTCTCTGCCCTGTCCCCACCTCTACCCTGTCTTCTCTCCTACACCCTCTGCTTCTCTACCTGCAGATCTATGAGTATCGGAACGGCCACCAGGAGGTGGAGAGCCCCTTCCAGGGACGCCTGCAGTGGAACGGGAGCAAAGACTTGCAGGACGTGTCCATCACTGTGCTCAATGTCACCCTGAACGACTCTGGCCTCTACACCTGCAACGTGTCCCGGGAGTTTGAGTTTGAGGCACATCGCCCCTTCGTGAAGACCACCCGGCTGATCCCCCTCCGTGTCACCGAGGAGGGTAAGGCTAGGGCACAGGCTCCCTTGGGTGCCCTGCTCTCGGGGGAGGGAGGACAGCGGGTTTCCACATAAATGAGCCCCTTGCAGAATGCAAAACCCCATGTATCTGGAGTGGTGATATCTAAAAATGTCACCACTGGTTTGTCTTCCTGGGGCGGCCAGCTTTCTGCAAGCCGCCCGAGAGCTTGCCTCTCTGTGTCTTTCCTCAAAGCAGAAAGGCTTGGAGATGATAGTGCAGTAATCTTGACCCGGTCCCTGGACTCTCACCCTTAGAGAAAGAGGACAGCCTCCCTGAAGCCTAAAACTGCCAAGACAGTTACACCTACTCTGGCCTGCGCTGAATCTCGGACTCAATGGGCTCAGAGAAATCTCCTGAGGTTCTCTAGAGGTCAGCTACCCTCTTGTCTGTGACTCATACAAACCTCTAAACTAGCAGTGCTCAAACTTCAGCCAGCCTCAGATTCCCCTGCAGGACTTCTTTTTTTTTTTTTTTTTTTTTTTTTTTT